CTGTGATTCCAACAATCTCATTAAGATAAATATGATCTACCCCCATTTAATGGATGATAAAATCAAGAGGTAATATAACATGCCTGAGGTCACGTGGCCAGTAAGCCACAAAAAATGGAACCACTCAGTCCTTAACAGTCCACTAGGCAATACTCCTTTCAAAGGAATCCCATGTTTCCCGCCCAAAGCGCATCTATTCACTGTTGCAAAAACCTAAAACAGGTGAGCGCTGATTTGAACACTACTCTGAAATCTGTAAGACCAGACTAGTGACACTGTTCTTCACCACACCGTGCTGGGGACAAGTGTCTCCTATATGCAGCTGGAGCCCGAGTCCCAACAAGAGGCCTAATGGGAAAGCTTACAAGGAATAAGGACACACACATTCTGTCCCTTCATTTGGGACTTCGAATAATTCCTTCTAAGTCTCCAGCTGCCCCCTACTTCTCAGCCGCTCCCCTTCACAGAAAATTCCTCCAGAAGATTTCTTTATACCACCAGTTCCCAAAAGTGTGGTCCAGAGTGCAGAACTCCACGAAGCCAACCCTGTTCACAGTAACACCAAGCTGGGTTTGGCTTTTTCACATCCTCTGTTTTCTAGAGGTTACATGCTGACTGACATGGTACCAGATTAAAATCACAAGCAAACGTGAGAACCCAGTTATTAAGGCAGATAATAAAAAGACTTGTTAATATAAAACAATGCCTCTCTATTCGCTAAATTTTTGTTTGAAATATTTTTCATAAATTATGATACTTATACATTAACATATAACTGATTATTTATTCATTTGAAAAGAACACTTAAAACATTTCTCAGTTTTAATTTTTACTACTACCAGTATCCATAGATATAACCCAAAACAAAAGCTTTTTAGAGTCCTCAACTTTCCAAGTACAACTTGACTTTTAAACAAAAAAAGTGGAGAGTCTCCAGTCAATTCTGTCTCCAATATTCCTCCTTTCATTCCCTCTCAAACCTGCTGTGGTTTGAGGGACTCTCCTCATTATCTGCCACCAAAATTGCTCGTAAGTGCCAATGACTTCCCAATCACTAAAGCCAAAGGTCAATCCTCAGTCCCTATGTCCCTCAATCCACCAGCACCTCGCCAATTCCTCCTCCTCCTGTCTTCACCTGCTTCCAGGACACCACAGCCCAGGTCTCCTATCTTGCTGACTCCTTTCCCTTTCCCCAACCTCCCTGGGGGATGGCCCAGAGCCCAGTCATTCTTTGAAATCTCTATACCCACTCTGGGTACCTTGGCCATTTCTAAATTTCTATCTCTAGACCAGATCTCTCCCCTGAACTCCAGACTCATCCCACTAAACAGTCCACCTCTGTACTTGGATTTTAGACAGGCATTGCAAACTTACACATGGCAGCAAAGCCCGATGTTCTCCGGTCCAACCTGTTCCTCTCCATATCCTTCCCATCTCACTTGGTGTCAACTCTACCCTTTCAAAGGCTTCCAAGGCCAAAACCTCCAAGTCTTCTCTGATTCCTTTCTGTCATACCTTACATTCAATCCAGCAAGAAATGGTTGGCTGACTTCAATGTTCACCCGTAATCTAGTATCACTTCCTGGGCTCCAGTGCTCAAAGCCACCATTCTCTTACTTGGAATGCTACAGAAGCCTCCCATTATATTCCCTGGCTTGTTCCCCCAAAGTTTACTTTTATCACAGCAGTCACGACAATCCTTTCAAAAGCTTAGTTATCCCACAGCTAAATGAACATGCATTCAGGACTTTCCATCTTACTCAGGCCCAAACCCCAGATGCTTAAAATGGCCTACAGGCCCACTCTAATTGACCCTAGTTACCCTTTCTTGCTTTTCTTACTATACTCCCCTCCCAGCTTTCTATCCAGCTTTCAAGCCTTTATACTGGTCATCCCGTCTGTCTGGGATGCTCTTTTTCCTGAAATCCTCATGACTCACTCTCTCAACTCCTAGCCTTTACTCAAATGTCTCAGTCTCAAGAGACCCACCCTGATCTCTTCCCTTTAAAAGTACACCTCCGCCCTCCACCTCCCAGCATTCTGATCTCCCTTGTTCTGCTCTAAGGCCGCCCAGAGCACTCAGCATTTTCAAACATTTATTACTTATGTTTATTGTCTATCTCTCCAGCATAATGTAAGAGCCATACCTGCAAGAATTTCTATTTTATCCACTAAAGTATCTTCTGTGACTAAAATTATCCCTGGCAAATAGTCCATCAATGAACAATGAACACACATGAAATTCGCTTATCTATAAAACTGAAGTGGGGAGCAGGGGCAGTCTGGACAAGAGCTCTTTCCAACTCAAGCCTCTGATTCTGTGAACAGCCAGACACAACTCATTGACACTGCAAACGATTTGAAGCTTTTGGCACAAAAAAGGGGCAGCTCCTGGTTATAGGGACCTGGACCCAGGCCCACAAAGTCTAAGTGCCCCACTGGGACAGGCGAGGCTAGGCTACAATCAAATAGGTGCCAGCTGACCAAGAACTGTTGTCATCACTAGTGGTCAGAGCCTGGGACACTCAGTAGAATTATGTGCCTCATCTTCTCTTATGTCAAGGTCACCTATTTCTCCTAAGTGAAGGAATCACCCTTCTTGGAGCTAGAACTTTGCCCTGCAAAGCCGCACAAATCCCAACAGTGGCATGATCTCCAGGAGCTGTGACAGCCCCACAATCCTAACCCAAATTCAAATCTCTCTTCCAATGTCAACTTCCATCCTACCCCAGGACAAACTTGAACTCCAATAGGTGTTTGCTGGTTTGGTTTTTTGTTGTTGTTGTTGTTGTTTAAGATTTATTTGAGAGAGAGAACGTGTGTGCGCACGTTGTGGGGTGGGAGTCGGGGGAAGAAAGGTGCAGAGGGAGAGAATCTCAAGCAGATTCCACGCTGAGCAGCGCCCCAACCTCACGACCCAGAGATCACAACCTGAACCGAAACCAAGAGTCAGGCGCTTAACCGACTGTGCCACCCAGGTGTCCCTGTAAGAGGTTTTTTAAAAGCAGAAGGGATGAGTTGGGAATGAGAAACGGTGGCATTAAATCCGACTAAAATGTGGTCTAGCCAACCCTCTGGGCTCTAACGCGGCACAGCCCCAAACCGAGCTCTGGAGAACACGCTTACCCAGTGGGCAGCAGGATGACCTGGCCTGTTGTCCCACTGAAGAGCTTGAGGTTTGTGGGAAGGAAGAAGTAAACCTAGGGACTGAGAACACTGCGGCTGTGAGCAGGCTCCCCTCAGCAAGCACTCACCACGGCACCCTGGGGGTGGTGGAGGGCAAGGAAGGGACTAAGAACCCACCCAGGTGACAGACGGCTGAGTGTGCAGGGTGACCCCTGGGATTAGCACCAGCCCTCATTCTCAAGGCTTCAGCAAATCTCAGAGTCGCTTATTTCCAGCTTGCCAGATTAAGAAAACAAGGAGGGTCATGAGTAAGATACACCTGCACCTACTTTAGAAGGACGGTGGATAAAAGACTTAACCCCTTGCAGGGTGGCGAAGGCGAACAGATTGCTACCGGAGTCAACATTCTCCTCCCTCTCCACAAAGCGAGGCTGCGTTATTTGAAAACAAGTCAAATCTGACCAATACCCCGGCCAGCTTTTGAGTCTACTGCCATCATCTCCCCCAGTGTATTACTTTCTTCTGCTTCCACGTCCAGCCGGCTATCTTGCCAACGGCCTGCCCTGATGATGGTCCAGGCACTCCTCCATCCTCAGTGCTGCTCAATTTCAGGTTCAAGAACATCCCCTTGTGCTAGCAGTGGGAATAAAATCATTGGTTCAACTGGTCTCCGAGGCTCTGCTTCAACCCAACCCACCTGTCCTGAGGACCTCAACACTGCACCATTCTGCCCTGGTCCGCTCATGGCTCCCAAATGCCCACCAAGGTCAAATTCCCTGTATCACCTTATTTCTGATCTTATTGCCCTTGCTCACCTCAGCCTCTGGTCCAACTAAACAACCATGGCCCTTCCTGGTACACACTTCCAGACTTTCCACCTCAGCTCTGCCTATTCCCCTGGGCAGGTCGCTGATTACTCTGAGTCTGCGTTCTTCACTACCCTACCCCAAGCCCGTGGAGGTGCTCAGGTGTGCGAGGCTCCCTCTGCTTCAGGTCCTTGGCAGAGATTAGTCATCCTTTTCCCTGGAATCCTCCCTGCCCCACCCCCCAATTCCCTACACCTGCCTCTGGGCACCAACCCCCTAAAAGGCCAATTTCCCGTCCTACCATTTCTCTTTTGTCATAAAACACCTGCGGCGATTATCGATCAATGTTTCTCTCCCCGACTAATTCAACGAAGCTGCAGAATTCATGGGGATGGGGCTGTTTTCTTAAATTTGCTCACCGCTGTTACCCCAGAGCCTAGCGTAACACTTGACAAATAAAAGCCCACAATCAATCTCTTAAGTAAGCAGAGACTTCCATCTAAGAACTCACTCATCACATCACTGACACTATCTAAAAAAAGAGAAGACCCATCTTCTCTTCTGTATCTGAAATAGGCGACTGGTCACATTACGGTACGTACAGTGGAATGTCAACTACTGAAAACTGTACTTCCCGAGTATCACATGGGAGATGCTCAGAGCACTGCTCAAAGAGCAGGAACCAAAACTAGACCTAAATATAGCACGATCTCAACTGTGCAGAACTGGACATGTGAATCGGAGACACAATTAGGGACAGCATATATTCCCTGAAAAAAACTGTCCGTACCTCTTTTGCACATTTTCTCCAGTAAGCGTTTATTAATTGTCGAGAAAAAGTATTTCTAAAACACTTGAGATGTGCACTCAGAGGACTTCTCTAGACCTTCCAGCTCTTACTATGCCCCACAGCTCTCCTCCTCAAGACCTGGGTGAGTCCTCTCACAATAAGCACTCGGGTGTCTTTAACCCTCCGTCTCCCCCCAGCTCCACGGGGCCCACCGTAGGGCCTGAGATGAAGAATCCAGTCCAGGAAGTTGGCATGCAGAACAAAAAGCGTACACTCACCTAGTTTAAAAACACTCAAGATGCTTTGCCCTGAATTTTAAGCAGCACATGTGACCTGGTCCATTCGGGTTTCAAGTTCAAAGGCATCAGGCCGGTCCTGTGGGTTAGCAGCTAACATATCTTTCAAGAGCTGCTTGATCCCCTCAGACATGGAAGTCCTGCGTTTCTGGGGGATATGCAACTCCATCTTTGGGTTTTCTAGCAGCGCCTCACCAACAGGGACGATTTCAGTCCCCTGTTTGATATAGGTCCCCAGGAGCTCCTTCTTGGTCTCAGAGTCAATGAAAGTGATTCTTTCTATCATTGCCCAGATGATAATGCCCAGGGCAAAGATGTCGGCCTTGGCTGTGTAGTGTCCCTCCCAGACTTCGGGGGCCATGTAGAAGTCTGAGCCGCAGGCTGAAGACAGCCAGTACTTATTCACATTCACATTTTTGCTGTCTTGATGGCCCTCTTTTCCTCGGGGGGCTAACCCCGCACAGACCTTGCTTAGTCCAAAGTCTGCCACCTTGAGGATGGGGGTGCCAGACCGCTCGGTGATGAGGATGTTGTCTGGCTTTAGGTCCCTGTGCACGATGTGGTTTTTGTGCAGGAAGGCAATGGCGCTCGTGAGCTGTAGCATGAAGCTTTTGTTGGTGGCTGGGTCCGGCCTCCGGGACAGGACGTACTGATTCAGGTCTCCACCTTCACAGAATTCCATGACAAACCAGAGATAGCAGGGCTCCTCAGCATAACCCAGGATCCTTTCTCCTAAATCGAAGGAAGACCGGAAAGAGCTTGAGTGCCACGGACACACCCACACCACTCTCCGACCACACGCACAGCACAGCAAGCTTACGCCAGACAACGGGGACCAGGCTCCCAGCCAAGGGGACCAGCAAAACCCGCACGAAGCCAACACTGCACCAAGCAGGCCCATCTCTACTCACACGGGATGAGTCAAGGGCTAGCAAGCTAAGGAATGACACAGGCTGCGGGCACTGGAGTCAAGCACCTGGCTTTGGAATTACCTGGTGCCTGGCTAAGTAACTGGTTGCCTGCTGACGGGTTCAATGAGTTAGCAGGAGGCAACGGCACTTAGTTCACCTTTCCAAGTTTCTCCTTCCACTGCCTCACCTGTACATGGCCACATGGCATCACTCACAGGACACCTACACTGGACCCTGACCTTCAAGCTAGTATTTACCACCCCCCTCCCCACCGGGGGAGGAAGGATGAAACACTCGCATCTTAAAAGATAGAAGAACCTGAGGCTCCCAGAGACTTAAAGAGTCCAGGGACTCAATCCATGTGCCTGGAAGCCACTTTGTCTCCTTCTAGCGTCTCCAGACCAGCAGCATCGCACCTCCCCCTCCCCTGGCCCACGGCTCGCAGGGCTGCTGCTGAGACAAGCAAGGTCAAGGGTGCAAGAAGGCCATAAAAAATGTCTGTTAATCCATACCAGGCAAAGGACCTCTCCTCCCCTCTCTCCTAACTTGCACGACTCTTGTCGATGCACCTAAAAATGTGTCCTACAGATTTATCTTAAAGGCATGTTCCAGTATTTCCTGCTCGACTACCATATCTGCCCAGCACAAGCTAGGTTTGTAACAGGCCCCTCCCTCTATAAAGCTTAGCTTCAAGGAGATAACAGGTAAGTACCTAAGACAGCAAGCATCTTAAGTATCTGCATCAAGGTCAACTTTTACTACGAACAGTGGAAGGGTGGGTAGGAGATGCCCAATCTGAGACTAGAAGGGTCAGGACCTGAGTTCCACCTAAAGGACAGGCAGTAGATCGGTGCAGAGAGGCAAGAGAGTATTCTAGGCTGAGAGATGGGATGGAGAATGGAACACAGGAGAGGTGTGAAGAGGAAGGAGGTCTGGTGGGAACAGGAGTCCAAAGCGGACACAGAAGTTAGAATCAAGTTGTATTGGCTTGACACTCCAGCTCTGCCTTTCCAGAAGTCTTTCCCTTTGCTGAACCACAGAAACTCCAGGGAAGCTGGTGACTGGCATCTCCAAACAAATCCCAATGTTCTTTACAAAGCAATTAACGGAACACTGATCCTCTGCGGAAGTTATCGGAGGACTGTAACTGTCCCCAAAGTCTAAACAGGCAGAGGTCATCCTGCTGATGAGAAGGCATATGGATGGCTCCTCTGATCCCTAGGACGGGAGTCTCCGTTCCACCGGAAAACAAGAGCTACATCTCTTTAAATAGCTTCTGCCAAAGCAGAGTCTACAGAAGCCACTGCTCTGGAAGTTCTAGGCTGAGGCAGGACAGACGGATGGACAAGGCAACAGCTTTGGGGTTTTGACCACGATCTGACAGACCTCACTTCCCCTGTAATTATATAATTTGTTTACATTACTCACAATCAAAACAATAAAGGTAGAACCAGTTTAGGGCAGATGGGGTGTTTTTAAAATTAGCTCTTTCCCATCTCATAATCCTCTTTCTAGGTCACTGGCTCTGGTGGGCTGAGGCTCTTTATCTAAAAACATTGAGAAATGATGAAGTGATCTGAAGCACAAATCTGTCTGATGCCAAAGTAAAGACCCAGAAAAAGGAGGGCAAGAAAGGTTTGCTGGTGGTACAGCCAGAAAGGAAGCAATTAAAAAGCCATCAAATTCCTCCTGTGAAGGCTACCATCAGAAAACAGTGAAGGCTACCATCAGAAAACAGTGCAACTTTTTCACTCCAACAGTGGGGAAGTAAAGGGTGGGGAATGGTGATTACTTTACACACAAAGTTGGTAACCAGGGCAACCCAAGTAAAAAGAAAACAAGCCTGCAAAACAGACTACATTGTAAGTCCAGATTATGAGAACCCAGAGAAAGAAAAGAAGGGTAAACAAGTGTCCTGGGGGTATGGGGTTTGGGTTAGGGACCCTAGAGCTCGCTCTGGGGGAAATGAGCTGAGCTCGGGAGATGCTACAGGAGGGGCTGTTTGTTCAGAGGAAAGCGCTGGACAGGAAGAAGCGGGCTCAGAATCAGACCCAGCATCAGGGAGCATGACAGAATGGAAAACCAGGGAGGGTGGCTACTTGTCCGGGAGGCAAGAAGACTCCCCCGCATGGGCCAGGGCCATGGGCTCATTTCATCAGAAACCACACATTGTGTTTTCACGCAGGAATCCCCAGCTGTCCACTCACAAACAGGAGAGGCATGCGGGAATTCCAGCCCCTTCCTTCAGACAGACTGCCCACCTGGGCCCCTGCTGGCCTCACCTCGGGCCTCATGTGTTCCTGTGGAGAAGCCAGCCAGGGTAAAGTCACAGGAAGGGCCCAGGCTAGGTGGTGAGGCTGGGGTCAGATGCCAGTTCTGCCCCCTGGTTAACTGGGTCACCTCCCAGCTCAAAGGAAAACATGGGGGAGATGGATACCAAGGGAAGAACCTTGGGCAGAGATTGGGAAAGATGGCAGAAGCTCTGTGAGCCTCTGTCACCTCCACCACACTGAGAGGGACACCGCCACCACGTATTCCTAGGAGTTAAGTCACAGACAAGAAACAGATTTTGCAGAGACTCAGGTACTTCAGGGAGAGGACATCCTGACCATCAGTAACATCCCCACTGGGCCTCAGCCAAGTCCAAGGAATCCACAGGTCCCAGTAACCCCGGGGCTAGAGGCCACAGAATGAAGCCTGCACATGCTAGGGAACAGAGGATACTGAAATCAGAAAATGAAAATGTGGATCATTATATCCTACTGCTCAGGCTGTAAATAGTTAAGCCCAAGCTCTAGCCAGACCATGTGGTTTCGGGGCGCTCGCTCCCTAGAAAGCCTTCCCTCTCCCCAAATCTCTGCTGGTGTACCTTTATATACCCTGCCTCAATGCCAACCTACTCGATGCTTGCCTGATCTCCCTCCTCTGACCAAAGGCTTTCCCTTCTAATTTACCACAGTGACTACACACTGCAGGAGAAAAAGTGCTCGAACTTTCAGGGATGACCAGTCCATGGTCCTGCAAGGACACGGATTCCTGGAGACACATCCCTGGGCTTCACCAGTCAGCAGGGGCTCGTGAAGGTCAGACGGTCCCAGGCAGCTTCAGCACCCATCTGTCTCAGCGGTCGCCAAGCCTGCCTGTGCCTCCCCACCAATTTCAGGACGGAGAACTGGAATACACACACACCAAGTGGGGCAGAATCCCCACGAGAAGCTTACAGTGTTTTGAGTGGATAGAAACAAACTTAAATTTTGTAATTCCCTTGTTTGGTACAGCCTGACAGTTCTGTAAGGTGAGGGAGTCAAAGACTTAGCTTCCCAGAGCGAGAGAGAAAAGATGGAAAGTTCCCTGGAAGTGTTAAGGATTTGAGGTCAATTCACCTGACAGGCAACTGGTTTCCAAGCCCTAAAGGCTAAGAGTGTGAGTCATTTCAGCTCCCCAGACACGCTTTTACAGGTGGGCAAACCAAGAGGAAGGTTAAAGAACTTGCCCAAGATCATGGCCATGGCTGGCTGGGTTAGACATGAGCCTCTGCTGCCAAGTCCTTCCACAACATGATGCTGTCACCCGGGTCCAGGGGGCTAAGAAACACACTGTGATTATAGAGAGACAGGCCTACCTTCAGGACAGGTTCATTACCTTCCCCTCAAGTCCAATGGCCTGGAGACCACAGAAGAAACTGTTTCAAAACATTCTATGCCACAGTTCAAAGGGAGACAGAGAAAATGGGGGAAAAAAAAACAAGTCAAGCAGGTGGCTCCCAATAAAACATGGCCTGCCTTGTTCAGAAACTCAAGGCCCGCAGGCTTGGGATAAGGAGAAGTCAGTGTGAGCTTCCGGACAGCAGGCCCCTCCTAGAAAGGGATACACCATACCCAGGGCCTTACAAGCCTATTCCCAAGCTGCCTCCAGAAGCTGGAATTTCTTCACTCTAGTCAATTCCATTTAAATACTTCCTGGGCACACACTGCTTGTGAGACACCAGAGAGGAGATCAGCAGTCGTCTCTGCCTTAGTTCAGGCTTCCAGTCATTAGAAACAGAATGCCGGCCTATGGCGATGAGAACAAGGAATAGGGTGTGATTCCACCCAAGGAGTGGACAAAGTGGTTGGGAGAGAGGCAGCCTGAAGATCTGTCAAGGATGGCCCTTGAGCAGTGTCTCCTGGGATGGAGAGTGAGCACACCACAGGCGTGAGCTCACAGCAAGGTACCCAAGTCATCTGGGATCAGCACAGAGAGATAGAGCAGGAGATGTGCAGAAAGGAGCCTGGAGCAGAAGCCTCTGGAGTAGGGTCCTAAGAAATGGGAGTCCAGCAGATTGAAGGATTTGAACTTAGGCGCTAAGCAACAGGAATTAAAAGTTCTTGGCACGTTTTAGAACGATATCCTGCTTACAGAGTCTTAAGTGACCAATTTTAAGACCTACCGTTTAAGTAAGACACACGGGCTGCTAACAGCACTACCGTGTATACACGCTGGGTTCTCACGGCCAAGATGCTGCCATGTGTGACAGCAGGTCTAAAAATCCCTGCCACATGTTCCCTCTGCGGGCATGAGGAGTTAGAGGTGGAAGACCGCCAGGCAGCTGAGGGGATTCATCAGTTTCGGAAACCCCCAAGAAGTGAGGCTTGCAAGGGAGAAGAGGGAAGGAGTGGCAGGGGGCAGGGAAGGTGCTGGGAGGTTTAGAATCAGTAGAATTTAGTAACATCACATGTCCTCTGTGACAGGAAGGAAACATTGAGAGAGTACTCTGGCCAATCCCCTCTTCTTACTCCAAACCCCTATCTACTGAGACCGTAATTACATCCCCTTTTACAG